GCACACCGTGGACGTCAATACCAACGCTGACCCCCAGTCGCAGACTGCGATGTCCTTGCCGTACGTCCCTAAAGCTCAGACCTCCTATGGCTTCTCCACCTTGGTAGAATCTCCTCACACTAGACGCAAGGAAAGCCTGTTCCACAGTGATCCCAACAGCCCCCTCAACTCCCCAAGCTCCCAGAGGCGCTCCCAAGGGGGGACTCTGCTGGCCCCAGCTGACCCCAATCCTTATCGCTACTTCAGTGGAGGAGAGAGCGACACCTGCTCATCCGCTGAGTCTTCCCCCTTCAACTCCCCCCTCCTCTCCAGGTCTGCTTCCCTACTTCGATCTATTACCCAGGAAACGCAGGCCAAGGTGATCACTTCTGCTTGTTTTAGTCAGATGATAAGATTATCTGAGCTAGAAGTAAATCCTTCATATATTTACCTGCTGCTTTTTCTTTTACCCCCCCCCCAAAGGTATCTCGTGCAAGACGCTCCCTGGCACGCCACAGTTCTCTCTCCACTGACGAATGCAGTTCCGCTGACAACAGCCCCAACATGCAGCGGCGCCGCACGCGCTGCCCCCCCTCTCCTGCCTTCCGAGGAGCCAAAGCCGGCAGCTCCAGGGCAACAGCCTCGGATCTCCTGCAGCGTGAGCACACCGTCAACCTCCACAAGGGGGGCACCCTGAGGCTGAGCACCCACTATGACCCCGAAGCCGCCCGGCTAAGGGTGCGCGTGCTCGCCGCGGAGGCCCTCTACAACAGGCAGACAGACCTGAAAAGCATTAACTGCTGCGTGGCGCTCTACCTGAACCCCGGCAAGCAGCAGAAACAACGGAGCACCATCATCAAGAACAGCAGGAACCCGGAGTTCAATGAAGACTTTTTTTTCGACGCACTGCCCCAGGCGCAAGTGAAGAATCTGGCCATGAAGATAAAGGTTGTGAACAAAGGAACCAGTCTGAAGAGAGATGTGCTTCTGGGTGAGAGGGAGGTGCTGCTCAGTGAGCTGCTCGCAAACCTCTAGGGAGACCTTGTCAAGGCTCCAGTGAAAGTGAGCGGCTCGCCTCTCCTCCGCCGACCTTTTCATCCCACCCTTCCAGATACTGGGCAAGAAGCAGCATACCAATGACCAGGGAGCTGCATCTTGCACACGGTGTTGTGTGTGTCGACAGAGTCCCTCTTGTCACGACTAGTTAAGCTTAAACAGAGACACGCAGACATACTTTAAGTGCTTGCTGGTATGTGAGCATTGTGAATGGCAGAGCGGTGTTTGTGTATTTTTCTTGACGTGCTGACGTTCCAAAAAGGTGTTGCCCCTCTCTGATGTAGCTCTTCTCGGTTCACATGTCTAACTTGAAGTTGTATTTTTGTAATAAATCTACTCTATTATTGCGTGCAAAAGTTTTGCATGTCACTGTGCAAATGATACATGCCTTTGTGTACTTGAAAGACTGGATTTTTGAAAGACTCCTATTGTAAATATGACTGACGCAATGTGAGAAGTTCCAGAACTTACCAATAAAGAGCACACTAAAAATACGACAAGATGATTTTTTTTTTATTCCAATTTGCAACTTTATCTCTTCTCATTTTGTCATTTCTAAGAACCAATGAAGGACAGTAACAATGGTTGAAAATCCTCTTTTGCGCCAACAAAAGCTTCCTGTTTTCGCGAACAGAGGCTGCGTCCTCTGAGACTTGCAAACTCCGGGTGTCATTTTGTGGGGCTTTTTAGTGGTTCTCCACAAACAATATTGTCTCTTTGAGGCCCCAAACTCCCTGTTTAATTTTAAATCCACACATCCAATTCAGGCATTCCTCTAGTGAGTTTTAAACTGATGATAAAGGCGGCAATCACACAGAACATCCTGCTTAGACTATAATTAATCTACACAGACTGATGTTCCTAGCATTTCAGGCGATAAATGGAAATCTATTTGTTCCTTTACGCCACATGTACAGGCTGATCCATGCAGAGCATTGTGCTAATGTGGGTGTTATGCGTCCTCTGCTGGTGAAAGAGCAAAATGACATGCTGAGAGCTTTGAAATATTAATAAACAATTCAAGCCACTTTACTTGCCTTGTTTGAGGTTAATTGGACATCTTGATATTTTATGACCCACAAAGACATTACAACCCTGGGACAGAGTGGAGAAAGAAATCGCATAAAAAAAAAAAAAGGAAAAAGTAAAAATTGACTTTCAGAGCATTTCAGGCTTCTGCCCCTGGGGTGATGTTTCACCAACTCCATTAACTTCTGAAGTACAGAAATAAGTCTCAACAAGCACCCATTTGGGACATGTTCGTCTGTGACTCTGAAGGAGCTTAATTTCCTACAGACTGGAGAGTAAAAGGATAAAACGGGAGAAATCCAATCTTTTCGACTTTGTAGTTCAAAGTTTTGTGATGTAAAGTGCGAGAGAGAGCTCGTGCACTAAGAACGTAAAAACTTTGCAGAGATACAGCTCAAAATAATTTGAAAAACGAAATTGCTTTTATTGAGCATTATGGCACCTGCAACTGAGAGTTCAAAGAATATAGATAGATACTGGAACAATTAGGACAGCTTGGAGGAGCAGTTAGCACTTGCTGCCTTGCAGCAAGAAAATCCTGGGTTTGAATCCTGACCTGAGGATAGAAACCAGTCTCTCATTTTCAAACAGATATGGAAAAATGATGGACGCCATGATTAAAATAAATGTTACAAATTTCAGTGTCTTTTGTTTGTGTTTTCTGTAATAGACTGACACAAAGCACTGTGGATACATCATTTGTATATTTTGTAAACAAATTAGATATTGCGAAGTGTGGCTTTCATTTGAATTTCTACCTGAGTAAATACTATAGAGCAAGCTTTTGTTGCGACCACAGCTGAAAGTCTCTGAAACTATTCACCCTGCCTTCTTTGTAAAACAGCTTCAGCTCAGGCAGAAAAGATGGAAAATGTCAGTGAGCATATTGAGACACTGATTTAGACCATTTTATAGCTCTCGTTCTGTATGCTGGAAGGCAAAACTTCACCCCAGTCTCAAGTTGTTTTGCTGCCTTGAAAGGCTTTTTCTTCCAGTATTGTTTTATCTTTTGCTTCATCCATCATCCTATTCCTATAACTGTGAATTTGTTCCTGCTGAAGAAAAGCTTCCCCATGACATCAGAAATGCTCTGGCAACAATTTGACATACATACATACATACATACATACATACATACATACATACATACATACATACATACATACATACATACATACATACACACAGACACACAGACAGACAGACAGTAAGTTGCACCTCCTATCAGGTTTATCTTATATTTTGGACAATATTTGCCTATTTAAGCAAAATAACAATTAACAAATTGTATACAAATGTAGCAGTGATAGTTTTTCTGTAATATTTCAGCTTTAGTAAAAATGTGTTTCTTTTATCAGGTTTTAAAACATATTGTTTTTTATGTATCTCCAATGGTTGTTGTATTTTTACTAAAGGTTTATATTATGCAAGTCCAAACATTCAGATAAAAGTTACAAAGCAAACAGGACTCCATCAGTCTCTTAAAGCAATGCCATTCAGCATCCCGCAGTTTCAACAGAGCAGGTCCCTGAGAGCAATACAGGGAGTCATGGTGTGCAACAGTATTTTTATTCAAAAGAGCATGGACTGTAAATCAAGCAAGGTAGAATTATAGAAATCTTCAGAAATTGAACATTTTCCCAGAAGGACATACGCTGGTATCTCAACACCTTACAGTATTGCAATCATGCCCTGGTTGTGTAAATTAGAGCTAGAACTAAGTATTTAGTTGTTTATAGCACTGACTGCAGCAGCTGTGGTAAGTTGCTATACTCAAAACAATCACTTAATGTTGGGAATGGGATCGTCAACTCAACATGGCTTCTGAGAAGTTTGGTTCATGGATTAAACTCATGATTAAAGGAAGGTTTTATTGGTGCTTTTCAACAATATTTAGTTTCAGAAGCAAATAATTATTTCTTTAGCATTTTGTCTCAATTGCTCTTATTGCCACCAAATTTACATTTTTCAGAGGATCTTGAACATAACACACTGCAGAGCAGTTCAAAAATACTTCTCATATAAATGTGTTGACTTTAATAGCATAAAAGGCACTGAAAAATACTTTGGAATCAGACTTTCAAAACAGTTATTCAGTTTCAAGGGAAAGTCGACACAGAACTTTTGTTATTTCTATGAAATCTTTTTTGAGAAGGCTGGAAAGATTTGTACTAATTTATTCAAATGTTGATCCATTGTTTTTAACACTGTTTCCCCAAGCTTTTTAAAAACTTTACATTCTCCTAGGGAGAATATTGAATCTCTCAATTTTTTTTTTTTGTTTACCATTAACAGAACCATTGACAGCAAATAATACTCAAGCCTTATTTTTTACCATTAAGGTCAAATTACGGCAGTAACAGTAACCATCTGAGATCTGCCAGTAACCATCTGAGATGGTTACTGTTACTGCCAGTAACCATCTGTATGCTCACTTCACATGAAGCCTCACTTTAGTAGATGCAGGTTGTTTTACCATCACTGAAATTTATGACTTCAATTGAATGAGGGTACAGTAAAGTAGATTGGAAAACATTTTTTATTATATTATATTATATTATATTATATTATATTATAATTCTTTTTTGTGTGTGTAAAAAAGAAAACAGCCAATGAAAAAAAATCTTATTGAAACTCATTTGTGCTGTAGGTCTAGTTCAGTTAAAGCACACAATAATAATAATAATAATAATAATAATAATAATAATAATAATAATAATAATAATAATAATAATAATAACTTTATTCAATTTGCGAGTTCGCCTTCAGCTGTCAGTCAGAGACAAAGCCTCAGGTTGATTCCAAAAACCATAACAAAGAAAGCCATCAGCTGTTGGTGATTTAACTCGCATTGACTCATGGGAAATGTAGTTTTCTGCCAATAACACTCCCTATTTTAAGTGCAAAGACTCTGAGGTAAGACTACAATACCCAGAATACTATGCTTCACTTGTAAACAGAGACCTGTCAAAGAGCACAAACGCCATCTTGACAGCAACCTCAAAATGGCAGAAAGATATGAGTCAGAAACAGGGTCCAAACTAAGATTCCGGCGCTCCACTGCTTAAAACCAGGTACTTCAGATATTCTATAAGCAAGTGGGCATGGAGTTGGTGTGCGGTGCTACAGCACAGAGCCTGTAAAATGGATATAACCGTGGCGGTTTTTAACGCGGCCAGAGATGGTAAGCTGAAACTTATCCAGAAGTTGCTGAGCAACAAAACTCCAGAGGAGCTGGAGGCTTTAGCGGAGGAGAAAACCCAGGGCAGCACCGCGCTTCTCATAGCCTCTCGGTACGGACATTTAGAGGTCGTAGACTACCTGCTCGAACATTGTAAAGCTCATGTAGAACTCGGGGGCTCGGTCAACTTTGACGGCGAGACTATCGAGGGGGCTCCACCGCTGTGGGCGGCTTCGGCAGCGGGTCACCTCCCCGTGGTGAAGACGCTGCTGAAACACGGCGCCTCGGTAAACAACGCCACGCTAACCAACTCCACCCCGCTCCGAGCCGCTTGCTTCGACGGCCACCTGGAGATCGTTCGCTACCTGGTGGAGCACAGAGCGGACATGGAGGTCGCCAACCGCCACGGCCACACCTGCCTCATGATCTCCTGCTACAAGGGCCACAAAGAGATAGCCAAGTTTCTCCTGGACCGTGGGGCTGACGTGAACCGAAAGAGTGTGAAAGGGAACACGGCCCTCCATGACTGCGCTGAGTCTGGGAGTCTGGACATCATGAAGATGCTGCTGAAGTGCAACGCCCGCATGGAGAGGGATGGGTATGGGATGACCCCCCTCCTGGCTGCCAGTGTAACGGGTCACACTAACATTGTGGAGTATCTGGCCCACCAGCCCCGCACTTCCAGAGAGGAGCGGATTGATGCACTGGAGCTACTGGGAGCAACGTTTGTGGACAAAAAACGTGATCTGTTGGGAGCCATGAGGTACTGGAGAAGAGCTATGGAGCTGAGGGAGGCGGGCGACAAAGCTGGATCGCTGTCCAAGCCTCCGCCTGGTCCTCCCATCCCTGCCTACGGATGTGCCCAGGAGGTGAGCACTGCAGAGGAGCTTGAAGCTTTAATCACAGATCCTGATGAAATGAGGATGCAGGCCTTGCTGGTTCGTGAGCGCATCCTCGGGCCATCCCACCCGGACACATCTTATTACATTCGGTACAGGGGAGCTGTGTACGCTGACTCGGGCAACTTTGAGCGCTGTATCAGTCTGTGGAAATATGCCTTAGACATGCAGCAGAGCAACTTGGACCCCCTCAGTCCCATGACGGCCTCCAGTTTCCTCTCCTTCGCAGAGCTCTTTTCTTTTGTTCTTCAGGACAGGGCCAAAGGCACCCTGTCGACTCGCATCACCTTCCAGGACCTAATGACTGTGCTGGGGAAAAGCGTGAGGGAAGTCGAAAGAGCTGTGGCACAGAGAGACAACCCCCCAGAAGCCCCTCAGTTCAACAAGGCGCTTTCCATCATCCTCCACCTCATCTTTTTACTGGAAAAGCTCGAGTGCAACCCCGAGCAGGAACACCAAAAGAAGCACACAGTCTACCGGCTGCTCAAGCTCAACCCTCGAGGTCGGAACGGATTCACGCCGCTCCACATGGCCGTGGACAAGGAGACCACATCTGTGGGCCGCTACCCAGTGGGCCGCTTCCCCTCTCAGGCGGTGGCAGCGCTGCTCCTAGAGTGCGGCGCAGATGTCGACTCGCGGGACTGTGAGAACAACACCCCGCTGCACGTTGCCGCCAACAACGGTTCCCCGGAGATAATGGCGCTGCTGGTGAAGGCGGGGGCCCACTTCGACGCAACGAACGCTCAGAGGAAAACGGCTTACGAGCTGTTGGATGATCACAGCGGCGGCCACACGGCACTGTACCCGCTGAACTACATCACCCTTCAGTGCCTGGCAGCTCGTGCGATTGAAAAGCACAGGCTGCCTTACAGGGGACTGATCTCTGAGGAGATGGAGGCTTTCATTGAGCTCCACTGACTTCCATGAAGAGACTCCCCTTTAACAAGACATTCTGTGTTCATCATTTTCTCCACTTCTGGCTCTAATAGCAACGTGTCAGACCAAACCATAGCAATAAACCCACATCCTCTGGGAGTAGTCTCTGCTTCCGATTCTGGAATAAATTTCCTGATTAAGTCACAAAGACTGTTTTAAACTTTTTGGTTTGTGGCATTAGAATGGAAAAAATGTAATGACTTTAAACTAAAGACCTCGACTCAATTTTCTAGTTCCTCTGACTTCACTTGGACTTTTACATTTAAATTGTTTGAGATTTTAAATCGAATTAAATTAAGATTTCAAATTTTAATTTGATTTGAATGTGACCCTCTATTAAAATGGAGTTTGCTTTATTAGCTTCTTGCTATCTTAAACTTTCTGCCCAGAATCCAATACAACATTCAGTTATGTTGCATAAAAGGGTCCACAGAGGCACCATAGAAAATAATTCCTCTGGTTATTTAATTGGTTTTAAACAAATTACAAGATGGTCCAAAAGGTATGTACTGTCCAACAAACACGTGATCAAAAATTAGATGAATAGTCAACAACCTGGAACTTCCTTAAACACTTTTAGTTAGCTTAACAGCTGCAAAATAATTTTTGCATGCTTGTCAAAAGGTGTTCTAATTTTAGGTTTGAAAAAAAACTAATCTAAATTTTGTTAAAGCTGCCATCCTGATTTGCCAGTCCAAAGTGGTGTATCAACTTGTTTAACAGGTCAAATCTCCGTGTTAGGAAAAATTCCACACTTTGTTAAATGAAAGTAAACTGAAAAATAGAACATATTTACATTTTGTAAGCCAAAGCCAATTTCCAGGTCATTTTCTAATCTAGAAATCAATTTCTTCCTATATTGATTGTTAATTCATCCGGCATTGTAGGTGAGGAACTTTAGACGGATGATTTTTTTTTTTCTTTTTTTTTTTTTTTTTTTTCTAAAAGCATCCATTGTTTTTCCGTGTTGACATCGTTTATCTTATTTGGACAAAACATGGGTGCACACAATGTCACTTTAGCAATAGTTTGACAGAAAATAAACTTTCTTCAAAAGGTTTTGCTGCAAAATGAGATGGGTAAGAAACGGTGAAAAAGGCCAGACATTATTTATGTTGTGTGTGTGAAATGCAAAGGTACCAGAATTTTTCTTACCATTTAATTCTGGCAAACAAATGCATTTTGGAATTACTAATATTTTTTGCAAACTAGTAATATTTGATTGAGTCTAAGTTGACAGTTTGAGACTTGACTTAGAACTCCTTTGTCTTGACTTTGAGCTGAACTTTTGACTTGACTTTATTTCTTGCAACTTGAATAAAAAGACTTGAGACTTGGTTGTGACTAGCAAATTGATGACGTACTCCCACCTCCTCTGTTTTGAAGTTTCTCCAACTAAAAAGGAGCATCACACCATGATCAGGCTTTTGTAAAAAAAAATAAATAAATAAAGGCTTCTGATTTCTGACATCCGATCAAGATATTCAGAGAAAAATCCATGGAAATGAAGTGTGGTTATATTAGTTCAACTCTTGTTTTGTTCATTTATACATCAACTCAAACTATCAGGTTTTCCACTTAATGTCTGTTTAATATGGGAAATGTATTTAGATTACTGTGCCAAACATTCTGTTACTGACTTATCTGATTTAAAAGAAAAGAATAAAGTGTAACTTCAAGCAAGGACACTAATTCAACAGTATTAGAGGACTAGTAACTTGAGTGTCTTAATATTTAAGACTGCAATACTCTTTGTCAGCCTCTAGAACAATTACTTGAAAGACTTGGGATAATTGGCATTGATTGGATTGCACAAAATGGGCAGCAGCAAACTCAACTCTATTAGTGTTCCCAGCCTATGCAGTTTGTTTTATTTCAATTAGAGGTATTCCTTTTCTTTTTTTTTTTTTTCCCAAGCTAAAAGTATCTGCAGAATTGTTGTTCCAAACGGCACATCCTTATTCCACAGACGGGGATAATTGACTCGGGTTGCTTCGCTCACAGTAAATTGCTGTCTTCTGAGTGTATTAGCTAAGAATGCCTTCTGAGTTTTCTCATCTTCTCTCAGTAAATTGTTTAATATTACAAAGCTTGGAAGTATGTCTACATCCATCTTCTTTCTGTAATTACACCAGCAGCTAATGTGTTCAGCTGAATGTCAATAAGACCGCTTCAGACTGTTACTGGGGATTTACAGCCGACATTTATGTGTCCACGAAAGAGTCCCACCTTTGCCCTTTAACCTCAAATGCAGCTCAGAAATGAAACGGATGGCTCCTTCAGCCGTAATTGCGTCTTAGTCTTACAAACACAAGATGACGACTTTTTTTTTTTTTTTTTGTTGTTGATCCTGTATTTATTGCTGATGTGTGAAACTGAAAGCACACCAAGCGGCTCTGTGAACTTTGGAATCCGAATGGTCAGGCTCCTTTCTTACTGAACTCATTCATTTTACCTGATGACGGCCTGAGAGCAAAAGAGTCTTGGAGATGTCGGAATAAAATTCAGAATGAAAAAATAATATGTGTCCGTGTTATCAGCTCACTTAAGAACAAAGTGGTTTCACTTAAGAACAAAGTGGTTATTTCTTTGATTTTACTGTCATATTTTGCATTCGTAGCAATTCCAGGAGTTGCAATAGATGTTTCTATCGGGAGATTGTCGCATCAGTTCAGTTTATTTCCAGTGACGAGCTGCAGCAAATGTCAGGTCCACCTCATGCCATGTGCAGCTATTGACAAACGAGCTCATTTCATGTCAACACGGTTCATTCCAGTTAAATTTCTAATTGTAATGCATGTAATGTATGGCCAGTTGATCATATAACACCAATTGGTAAAAAGTTTTCGTGTCATAATTAAAATAAGCTGTCTTATTCACCCCATTGGGGTGCATGTTGCTAAACACCGATCTGTGACCTCACATTTCAGCTCTCCATCTCAAGGCTTTCCGCAGCTCATTTTAAACCTGAGAATGCCAAAATAAAGCACAAGAGAAACCTGATATTTCTCGGTCCTGAACTCCCTGAGTAAAAATAGGTTGCAATTAACGTCACTGCTGCTGGGCAGCGGTGGAGACAGGGCACCCACCTTGCTAATTTTAGGGATCTTTCTTCCCCAGCTTCAGCCCTGAAAATGGGAATACGGTAACGTAATACTGGGAGGGCGGAGTGAGTGGCAGACAGAATACACAGCCAGCAGCAGGTCGCTTTAACCTTACAGGAAGATATATATATATATATATATATATATATGCACTGCTCAAAAAAATAAAGGGAACACTCAAATAACACATCCTAGATCTGAATGAATGAAATATTCTCATTGAATACTTTGTTCTGTACAAAGTTGAAAGTGCTGACAACAAAATCACACAAAAATCATCAATGGAAATCAAATTTATTAACCAATGGAGGCCTGGATTTGGAGCCACACACAAAATTAAAGTGAAATGTTCCCTTTATTTTTTTGAGCATTATATATATATATATATATATATATACACACACACACACACATATATACTGCCGGACGCTCAACCTCAGATATTTATTAGCTGCTAACGTGCTTTTACTGAAGCACGATGTTGGACGATACCAGATGGCAAACTGCTCATCCCGTGCAGCAACTCACACCAGCTGTCATTAAGCTGAAATTGAAGGCCGTCTTATTTCAGAAGGTGCTTTCCCGCTGTCTTAACCTTTACTGTTCGCGGTGTGGAAAATTGACAAAAGGAATGGAAGTTGTTTTACCTTTTATTTACTGTTTTTCCTAAACATTTTTAAGCTTGACGTGCAATTCTTAAACTGAGCATGATCTGAAGTGGCTTATTTACTATTCAAAGCTTTGATACACCTATTTTTTTTATTTATTTATTTATTTTTTTTTGTCCTTACTTGCAGAAAAGAGGGATCGGAAATCATAAACTTTGCTTTAACAGTTTGGTCCAAATTTGAGAAGTGGTCTAAATTAACAAGCATTTTTAAAAGGAATGTTTATATTAAAAAAGCCAAAACATTTTTGGGAAAAAAAAAAAAAATTCTCAGAAAAAAAAATATTTGCATCTGTTAAATTATAAAATTTTAAAATGAAAAAATGTGAGGGAACCCCGAACTTATGACTTCTCAGAAGACATTAATGCTGGGTTTAAATCCACGTCTTTGTGTTTGGGTGAGATATATATTTTTTGCTATATTTTTAGTTATTAAATTAAGCTTCTTTTCATTCCCTTTTGTCAATGTGCCAAAGTTATGGCAAAAAATAAAATAAAATTAAAAATAAACCCTCCACAAACTGAAAGCTGTTGTGATCTCTATTATTAGAGAATGCATCCACTAGATGTCAGTAGCAACAAAGAAAGGTAATGAAATCACAACCCTTTGTCTCTTTAACGCTTTGTGAAAGGCTGGAAAAATTGCTGCTTTTAGTCTGAAAGATGATGACAGTTATCTGATTTGTAGGTCCTTTTTTGTTTTAGCAAACTTTGTCAATTTCCATGTCAACAAATTCAAAGAAAATGGCTTTTAACACACTGCTAAGGGGGGGTACGTAAGCGCTGGTAATGCAGCTAAATGATGATGAATCTTGGTTGACTGGAGAGTGGCTGATTCTCATTGTGTTTGCAGAGGGTTGCCAGGGGGGTCAGCGGCGAGAAATAAAAAGCTCCGTTGAGAAATTTAGTTGTGTCAGAACGACCTGCATCTCCACACTAACAACACCTTTAGATTTCGCCCTTGTGGCTGCTAATGCTGTCATGTTGTGTGACCTAAATAAGACCAAACCTTTTATCAAAAAAAAAAACAACAAAAAAACAAGTCAGTTCTTATATTTCTGGTAATTTATTATCAAAAGCTGAGTGGGTTTGCTTCGGTTATAGCTTTGTTTCCATACTTACAAGCCCGTTGGGTTGCAGCGCAGAGTATTAATGACTAGAGGAGCACAATGAGTGATGACATCATCCTTGTCTTTCACTGCCTGCTCACACACAAGCAGAAGAAGACTCCAGTAGATATTATAAAAAATATAAAGATCGAAAGAGAATGTGCACAAATTAGGGGTCATCAGTGATTATAAATTGGACCTGATGGCACGTGTACAACATAAATGCCAACTTTGCAGACAATCAAAAAAAATTAATAAACCAAATTTTGTTAGGCAAATTTTATAAGGCATGTAGTTCTGTTGAAATGCTATCATGAATTTATAGGGAAAACATATAAAAAGACAAATTTTATTCATTTTTCATTATTCATTATTTCATTTTCAAGGTTCAAAACATTCTTCAAATTCTGTTCAAAGTTAAGTCTGAACTCAGTTAATAATGTCTGCTTATACTGAAAAGAAATTTAATTATTTTGTACAAAGAGATATATTTCAATAATTTATAGCATTTCTGATTGAGTGTTGAATTTTTTCTTTTCTTTATTTTTTTTTTTTTTTTTTATTTCCAAGTGAAGCTCATTAAAGTTTGAATTCCAAGGTGAAGTTAATTTGTTTCAGGAAATTCTCTAAAGTTTTAAGACGCATATTTGATCTTAATTAATTGCAAACATTATTTGTCAAAAGTTCATCTCGGTTCATGTTGATGAAAACCAGTTAGGTTCTCATTGAATATTATACACCATGCATAAAATTATTATTCGATCACACAAATGTGAGTCTACTTATAAGTCTGAGTGCACACTACAGTGTCTGCACTCAAAACTTTGTTCAGATATCTTTTGGATGAATTACTGCATCAGTGCAGAGGCGACCAACCTCCATGTTACTGAAGAAGGCCAGGTCTCTTTAATCTTCATTTCTGACTAAAATGAAATTTTACTTTAATTTGAAATGGGGCACAGTTAAGTCCCTTTTCTCTCCGGCTCGAGTAAGACGCTTCTGACACCTTTGGTTCACGAGTAGCTTTCGGCACAAGGAATGTGGTCAGGTTCACCTTTCTCTACCCCACTTTTTCCTTTCACTAAATTTTAAATTACATGCTTGACTGTCAGTAATCAACTGTTCTTGCTCACACTACTACTTTCTGAAACTGTCAGTGACCTCTAATTACTAAAATGTCTAATGGACAACTGTCACATCAGCAGTTTGCCCAGTGATTGTTGTTAGTGACATTTCTGTTTTTAAACTCCCATTAATGAATTGCTTTTATGGAAAATTCAAATCTTCTTGAGGATCTTAATTGTGGATTTTCATTGGTTTTAAAACATAGTCTTGGAGTTTAAGAGACATAAATGCTTGCAATACAGCACTGTGCGTGTTATAAAAGGAGAAGCTAAAAGCATTATCGAAATAAGTTGCTGATATCTATTTCACAAACGGAGGTAAAGTGGTAAAATAGGCTCATTATTATTATTATTATTATTATTATTATTATTATTATTATTATTATTATTATTATTATTATCGTGCTGCCGTCTTCCAGTGATATACAGCAAAATTCCTGACCAAGAGGAATGAAAAGTCCGGCCATACTGTACGTCTGCTCTGTGGGAGTTAATGCTGGACACTCTGGTTCTCTATTGTTGCCAGCAGATATAATTAGACGAAGCATTATGGCAATCTGCGAAGTTGGAAGGTGCTTATCTTCAGTTTGGCCCGCCGGGAACACAGTGGGGG